GGAATTTAAAATGAGTTTGGGACAAAAAGTGGATTTGAATCAAAATTTAGGACAAAATGGTTTTAGTTTGGGCCAATAGTAATATCTATTTGGACGGCAACTATAGGCCGTAGAAGGTGGTTTTCTAATTAAAATTTAGAGCTATTTTTTTTTTTTTATAAAAAAGTAATTTTTACATTGCACCCAATCCTATGCTAGTTAGTTTATTTTCAGACCTGAATCTTCATTAGCAATGCCAATTTCTTATTCCTAAGCAAAGATATGAACCTGTAAGAGAAAGAAAATATATATATTAGCAAAAGAAAGAATTCTTATATTATGCCAGCTTAGTTTATTTTCAGAGCCAGGTCTATATTAGTGATGGTAATTCTCATTTCTGAGTGAAAATATAAACCTGCAAAAGAAAAAATAAAATGCAAAAAAAAAATAAAAATAACAACAGCAACAACAAAGAAAAAAACCAAAATCCTTAAATTATGCCTGCCCAGTTTATTTTCAGATCCAGTAATGCCTTTTTCATTCCCAGATGAAGACATAATCTTCGAAAGAATTATTAGTAACAGGAAAAACCAATAACTGAAAGAGGTAAAAAAAAAAAAAAAAAACTTTTAAAAAAAAAAACTCTGAAAAAATATAAATACATATTTAATAAAATCAGAAAGTTTAAAGTAAATAAAAGTAAAAAATAAATAATTTTGATGTATTGTATAATTACCGTATTCCGTTCGCCAAAGTACCCGGCGTGACAAATAATGTAGATCAATTTTTGAAATATTATTTATACATCAGGTGATACGTAATACTCGTGATTTAAATTTTTTTTCAATTTGCATCACACGGGTACTTTGGCGAACGGAATACGGTAGTAAATTTTTGATAAAAGTGAAGTCATGGATCGGTCAAGCCATTGCCACATCATATAGTCAGATCGCAAAAGCAAAAAAAAATTAAGTTTTTGCTACAGTATGCGATAACACATTTACCATTTTATTAAAATTTAATGAACCAAGTTTTTAATTTTATTAATAATTTAAGAATCGGCAAAATACTGTATATTTCTAGTTTTAATTGATATTACAAAGTAACTATAAAACAGTCAAATCTCTTTAAAATCACACTTTGAGGCACAAAAAAATGTAATTATAGAGAAGTTTGACAATTATAGAGGTCATATTTATTATATTTAATAAGAGAAGAAAAATATATGTATAAAGAAAATGTGTTTAGGTGACTATGGAGAGCTTGGACTGCAAATATTTCAAATTATTCAGAATTAAAAGATGTAGAATCATACGCTGCTAGTTAATTGTAATAGCAACAAGATCTTTCAATTTACTATAGATCATATCTGCTGTTGGCCGTTTTATCGGATGTGGACTCCATCCTAATTTCATAATCTCTTCATATTCCGGAGGAGTACCCTCAATTAGTTGCGGACGCTCCTTATTTTTCGAGACTTTTTCTATCAAATCCGTTACACTCGTAACATCGGCAAAAGGCATTTTTTGAGAAGCTAACTCCCAAAGCACAATTGAAAAGCTATCGAGTAATTAATGAAGAGTGAGAAGGTTTATAATTTTCAGGGACTAATATTAAGCATTGAATCAAACCTGTATATGTCGCATTGCTTAGAATAAGGAGTGCTGGTGTAATCTTCAAGCTTTTCGGGTGAAAGCCATCTTAAAAAAAGAGATTTATCGATAGATAAACCTTAAAAAATATGTACCATTTTTTTTTAATATTTTTATTTACCTATATATTAATATAATATTCTTCATGGGCGTCGTATAATCCTTTACTCTACGACTAGAGCTAAAATTACAGATTTTCGCTGTCTTGTTTTCCATCAACAGTATATTATGACTGAATATTAAAGATTAAAAGTTAGAATCAATTAATAGACATACAGTATTATAAAAAGATAATGAATTCGAACCTTCTTATATCATGGTGCAAAATATCACAAAAATGACAAAAAGCCAACCCATTTGCAATATCACGAGCAATTTTTAGTTTGAACTCCCATGATAAATCTGGATATTCTTTCAGGTATGTATTAAGGTCACCTATTTCGGCCCATTCTGAGATGACGTATAGTTTGTCATCATGCAGCATTGTGCCATAGCTAGTTAATTGAAATAGTATGGTAAATTTCCAGTCAAAAAAAAGTTCATACAGTATATTTAAAGTAATATGCGTCTTACAAAGTTATTATATTTGGACATTCCTTTAGTTCTGTTAAAATAGAGACTTGTTTTTTGATTTTTTCAATTTTTCTTTCATAGTCTGCACTGTCTGTAGGTTTTGTGACTGGATATGCGATCTCTTTTTGAGCAACTGGTTGCGATATATATCGATATAATTTTTTAACAACATGCCCGTTACCACGCTTCACTTCCTTCTCATTTTCTAAATCAACGATTTGGTTACGAGGAATGTCCGAAGTATGTAGAAATTTACTTGCTTCTAAACTATTCTCATCAAGGGTTGCAATTTGAATGGTCTTTAATTTTTCTTCAATCGCGCTAAAATTTTGTTTATTCGTTTGTTTCATTACTTCTTCTAAGGTGTGCTTAGAAGTTTTAATTTCGGTATCGAACAATTCCTTATCGTAATTAATGTTTTCATTCGTTCGAAGACATGTTACTAATCCTAAATCCTTAACAGCAGAATCGAATTCTGTGGTAATTTCATCATATTCTGTTTCAATCTAATGGTGGTAAAAGATGGAATTGTCAATTGTAACTTTAAAAATAATAATGACCTATTTTATTAAATTACCTTGTGAGCTGCAATAAGCTTCATGAAAGGTATAGACTTGCTAATATTATTAACAAATTCTCTACAAATTTTTATTATACGAACACAATTTTCTAAATGTTTATTTTTGATATCCTTTGTGGATTTTTTAAGTGCTTGGCTTACAACGTATATACGGTATGCTAGCATAAAGCTAATAAATTTATTGTGTCCCGCTTTGTAAGTTATATCAAATATTTCCCGAAGTATTTCAAATATTTCCTGAAGTATTTCAGGAAACAGTGTAAATTTTGCAGAATCATAGTCGTCAATATCAGCAAGCATAGCGTCAATGTCTTCTTCTGGAATAACATAAATTTTTTTAACAGGGTCCATCTGAGCTGTACCTGGTGTGTGAATCGGCTGACAAACTGAAATATCCACTTTTTTAGAAGTGTGTATTTGTTCACCTATTTTATTTAAAAAAGGTGCTTTTTTCATTTGATCTTCTGAAAAAAATATAATACACCACTGAAGTAAATATTTTGATACTTGATTATAAATTTCTTCAGATAATTCGCCTTCATCATTATCACTGTCACTTTCTTCATAACCATTAATATCGGGACTTTTTTCATTTTCAATTCCGTTATTATGATGGCCATTCTTTTTTTCTTCATTGACTGATATTTCAATTTTTATTTGGTCATTATGATAATTTCGAATACTAGCTGTGAACTTTGTCTTATAATCTGTTGTAGGATATATAAAATTTGTACACATAATTGAATTTTCTGGTAGATTTTCAGGAACTTTTAATGTAATGATAGAATTTTTTTTAATGCATGTAAATTGATAACTATTTAATGCCATTATAGGAATATTTCGTGTATCTAAGCTATAAAATCCAATTTCTGAGGGTAATCCAATCAACATCCAGGCTATTTGAAAATTTATATTCTTGCTAGAAAAATGAAATAAACTTTATAAGACTTTATTTTAATAAATACTACAATTTAAAAAAGGTAAATGAATACTACCTGGTTATGTCATAATTTTCGATTATTACAGAAAAACCGAATATATTCGTAGATTGAAATTTAATGCTTGCTAAGTTAATTACTTCACCATTTTGTGATACAAGTTTTCCAAACATTTTATAATTACTTGAACTCAGGCGATTGAGAAATTTTACACGATATTCATGAATGGAATCTTTAACTGGAATCACACCTGTAATAAGAACCCTTTCTTTAATTCCAAATTTTTCTGTTTGATCATCAATTCCAAGTATAAATTCGATCTCCGTTTGTTGATGTTCATTAAGTATTTTATATAAAGGATATAATTCTTTCCAATTTATAATTCGTGATGAGTCAGGGTCACTTTTTAACAGAGACATCCATTCTTTTATATTATTTATCAAAATATAATTTCCATCAATTGATGCCAAATAGGATGTGTCAAAGTCTGACCCTGATTTGATAAGGCTTTCCCACTCATTTAAAATTTTATTATATTCAATAGAATTATTGAAGTTAATCCATTTTGTATTTTGTTTCGGTAAATCATTCTTCATGATTAAATGGCACATTCTGTATAATTTGTATCCGAATACGATCCTTTTAGGAAAAAAATATCCGTAATTTTCAAATATTTCAATTAGTTTATGATAGGGATTATAATGATTTAAAGCCTCTTTCACAGAAATCTCGAATTTCTCAGATGGTTTGATATTTTCATTTTCGAAAACCATCTCCGCTTCTGGACATAATATTGCTAGATAAACAGGCAATTTTTGAAAAGTTTCATTTTTAATCTTATAGGTTAGATTTTCATCGGTAGCAGAAATCCAACCATAATATTTTGAGTCAATGGCAAGAGGATCAATGTCATCGCTCAACAAAAAGGTTTCTCTAGGTTCTGTAGAACATACCACTTTAATTTTGTATTTTTTATTTAAATTGTCGAATTCTATGACTTTTGATTTTGTTTTAAAACCAATTGCAGAGTTTTTGGCAAAATGTATTCCACACTTATTGATTATTAAGCCATAGTCAAAAATCTCATTTTCGATGATCGTTTCTTCTGACATACTTCGATAAATTTAAATTGTGTATATGCACTTAAATAAAGCTAGCATTCACGTAGCTAATTATCATAAAACAACAGCAAAAGGAAATAATTATGTACAACAACCACGGAAAGAAACCACGGAAAGAAACCCCGATTCTTGCGGAAATATGAATTTTATTTCCGTACCGTACAACTTTCTTACTTATATGTACTACATATTATAATCGGTCATTGTTTTCCGTGGTAAATTGGCGTATACGTTCGTACGTACTTATGAGTTACGTACTTATGAATTACGTGCTTTTGTGTTACGTGCTTTTGAGTTACGTGTGTACAGTACGTACAACGTGCGTCGTGCGTATCGGTAAGTGGTACTTATTGTACTTCAATTGTGGTCATTATATAAATGCACTTTACTTTTGTTGACTTATGTTAAAATAAGCAGAAAAAATAATCTCATAAAACACAATGCCATATGGGGAATACTTGAAGATTTGGAAAACTAAAGAAGATAAGGTCCGAGATTGGTTTATTGATAATTATGATTGTGGGTTCAAATTCAATGAAAATAAATTCATAGAGAAGGTTTACAGGAAAGCATTTGAATTCACACCAAATGATATAATAGTAAAACTAGAGCGCCATGATGAAAGCGATACGGTAATATGTAGTCATGAATTAGATGTATTGTGCAGTAAAAATCGTATATTGGATGGAGAAATTAAAGTCGGATTACCTTGGCTTTCTATATTTCTTGGAATAAAACGTGGTACTGATAAACAAAAATTTAAAAACATTGAATTATTTTCGGAATATTCCGTTGAAACGTGGAAAGAGGCGAAAATCACTTTTTCTAAATCATGCGTTAAACCAACCAATAAACTAATTAAAGATGTGAACGATGCACTGAGTGAAAACACAACTAATGAGAAAATACAAGCTCTTCTTAAAGTAACAAAAGAATACGGCAGTTTTTATGCTTGTAGTCTTATTTTTGGTAAAGCACGCTTCAGAGAAAAAGAACAAATTAATAGGTTAAGTAAGTATATTATTTGTTTCAAGATAATAGGTATTTTTATATACTATCGAAATTGATTGCCTCCTTATTATAGATGAGAGTTCAAGATCTACAAATACTGGTGCCCAGTTTGAAATCAAGCCTAATGTGCATGGCATAGAGGCTGGCATAGGTTTAAATATTTCTAACGGAACTAATAACAAATCAAGGAGCCTCGATAGCTACTTACACTCAAGAAATAAAGATATTGGTGATCGAGATGATTATACTAAGTGGGAAATAATCGGATATGATAAAATTCATTTAATATTTGATTTACTGGATGATGATTTACAGAAAAAGATTTTAGATGTTTTGGGTCATCGAATTTTATCAGCTGGTAGTGTTCCCATAAATCATGATTTCAAAAAACCGTTACCTTTTCCATTAGATACTGCACTAACGAATGTCATAGACGCCAGCAAGTGTCATATTTTTGTGTCGATTACGAACCAAAACGTTGAGAATGCATTTTCTTTGCATGTTGATTACGTAGATAAGCATACTCCCGAAATTGTTGTTTATCGATTTGGACGTAAAAAGAATATACTTACTCGTGCAATCCGAGGTATAAAAGGAACAAAAACTTATTCATTCGAACTCAATTGGATTATTGTTGGGCAACCAAAAGACTTTGATTTTGATATGACAGACTATCCAGTAATACTAAGAAGCTATAATTATAATGACTTTGAAATGAAAAACAATTTTATACAAATTCCTATCGATAAAATTCAAAATTTTAAAGATATTCAAAAGCTTCGAGAAACTTGCATACTGAGTACATGTGTATTAGAGACAAGTTCATTAAGTAAAGATTTATATAATCGGGAGAAAACAACTATTGTATTTAGTACTCATTATTCGCGTACTAAGCATGCTGCTTGCATGTTTGCTTATAATTTTAACGATAAAAAAAATTTCGTTAATGAAGAAATTTTGCGGAATTTAAAATTGCATATTTGGTAAGAAAATATTTACTTATTACCGGTATTAATGCTTTTAAATCTTTTAAATAGCTTATTTTATGTGAGTCTATTATTCATAACAGTGCCGTTGATGTAGATCTTTCCTACAAAACATTTAAATTTGGTCAGATACCGATTAAATTGAGTACAGGAGACAAAAATATATATTATGGTCGTGAATTTCCAATTCTTAAAAAAATTTTTCCTGTGAATGTTGGAAGCTTAATACTGGTGAATCAAATTTTAGATTGTTCCGAAAATTGTGAAGATCATGGTTCAGTTAATGTCAACACTAACGGAATTATTTACAAGCCATTTGGCTCACAAAGAACAGATAAAAGAGCAATAGCTTATCTTATAGTTCCTCTAAAAAATTCATCTGAACATTAGACTATCTATTTAGAATATCTGATATGAAATTATTTAGCTTTCTTTAATTAAATTACCATTTCATCCTTATTTCCCTTTGTCTTAAAGTGTATGTTCTTAATAAAAGATTAATTGAATCTCTATAATCAATATATTCCATGTACTTAGATTGAGGGAACACATGCAATCTGTTTCTGTTATCTCTTTTCATGCGCAACATGAAATTTTTTTCTTTTCTTTTTTTTTTTTGTGCAGTTTCTATAATTAAAATTTGATGATCAAACTTCATATATATTTAATTATATTTAAGAGTAGGGTGTATGTAGATCATTTTTATGATCTACGTACGTACGTTTTATGTACCGTATTACTGTCGTATCTAAAGTTACTATCTATCTGAAGTTGCAACTTTAGATATATAAAGTTGCACCTAACCAGAATTATATGTATGTCAGATCAACTTTATATCTAAAGTTGCAACTTCAGATAGATGGTAAATTTAGATACGACATATATATATCATATTTTTGTATACCTACTAAATAATAAAAAAATTTAATGTATAATTTTGTATAAATAACAACAGTATAAATAACTTTTATTACTAATAAATGTAGTTAATACTGTATAAACTGTTTGAATTAATGGATAATTATTGCTATAAAGACCTTTTCATTCGGATTTAATTACTAGTATAAAGATTATTAATTGATATATTTAGTATATATATATATATATATAAATTTATCTTTACACAATATATATATCTCATATACTGTATTTCATATATCTCATTTTAAGTTCATTATACAGTATTCGCGTAAATTTAGTGGATAAATTATTGATTAATGCATTTATTACAATAAGTTATTCAAGCTTGTAACATTTTGTCTTGTCTTATATAGTTTTTCTCTTTCGCAAGCCCTGTAAAAAAAATTAAAAATCATATTCAGATTTTGTTCAGATTATATTTTTTAAAAATGAGCATTTTTCGTAACAAGAACCTATATAAAACCCTTTTAAATTCCTGAATATTTCTAAATTTCCTGAATATTTCCGATTTCCTGGTTATAATTTTATGCCGAAAAAATAATCATAACCAGGAAATCGGAAGTATTCAGGAAATTTAGAAATATTCAGGAATTTAAAAAGGGTTTATATAGATTCTTAGTACGAAAAATGCTCATTTTTAAAAATAATAATCTGAACAAAATCTGAATATGATTTTTAATTTTTTTTTATAGGGAAGTTTCGTGGAGACGGGAATTTTGATTTTCACAGGGGGTTTCATCTAAGTTTCATCTTGCTTCGTTTCACAGTTAGTTTCATTCTAATAACACTAGTCAAGCCTCACTCATGATATAGTTATGCTATTTTTCAGCCTCAGTTATTATAAACCTAATTTATATATTATATATATATATATATATATATATATATATACTGTATATATATATATAGTCACACCCCTCTAAGTGCATCCCGTCGGGACCATAGTGAAAAAAATTAAAATTTTGCACTTAGAGGGTGTTTGCATTTATAGAGAGTAAAATATATAGGACTCTTATAAGTTGGGGCCAACCTAGATCGTGCATTTAGAGAGGTTTTACATAGTACTTGCACTTAGGGGGGTGCGACTGAACTCTCTAAATGCATAAAAAATTTTGACTTTTAATTATTAACGCAAAAATGGTTCTTATGACTTAAATGCATAGATTGTCTATATGTATAAAAAAGTATGACGGATGCAATTAGACAGTATCGACTGTACAAAATTTTCAATTAATACTACAGCATTAGAAAACGAAAGAAACTTCGTATTAAGAAGATTACAAACTAATAAATACACGCGAAAGAATTTATTATTTATATATAGAGAATAGATATATATGCGTAAAATGGGTAATTATTACTAATAAACTCAAACTATCAAAGAATCTACCATATAAGTTATAAATTAAAACTTTAACTATTAATTTACGGTTGACAAACTCAAACACACTACAAGATCCGACCAAATTTAAATATTACGCCCGGATCTTCTTTGCTAAAGAGCTTGTACCTATTCAAATTAAACAGTTAGAAATAAAAGTTTAATAGTTTTAGACGAAAACGTTTCTGGTTACCTTCACTCTACAGTTAGTGTTACAAATCGTCAATCGATTAGTTGAGTAATTATTTTTTCAGTTGAATATCTAGTTGCAACTAATCGATTAATCGATTAATTGTTAAGTTGCAATTAATCGATTAGTCGATTAATTGTAAGTTATAACTAATCGATTAATTGTAAGTTATAACTAATCGATTAAGTGCAACTAATTAATTAAATAATTTTTCAATCGATTAGCAATTACTGTAATTCTTTAATCGATTAGTTGATTAATTGATTAATCGATTAGTTGATATCTAAAAAATTCAATCGATTAGTTGTCAACTAACCAACTAATAGATTTTTTCAACTTTCGATTTGTAACACTACTTTACAGTATAATTTGATATGGCCCAATAAACGGTAGACATACTTTGCCTTCTAAGTAAAGTTCGTGGGGATACTGATTATCATTGATTATTTTTGTATAGTGAATATGGACGTTTTATCGAAGCGAAAAATGGCTTTTGCGGAGATTTTTTGTTAGTGAAACGTTGTGTTCCCAAAAATTACTTTAAAGTGTATAAATAAGTTACCTGGGCAATTGATTTACATCAGCCAATCAGACGAATGTCCTCCTATGAATACAGAGATCAGATCTGATAACTTTATATGACAGTTCAGATCTCTACGCGGATCCGAATTCGGAGAATCTTAAAACATGGATTCGAATACGATCCGTTGGACAGATCCGGATCTCGGATCGGAACTTTCGGAACACTTTTTTAATCTATATATATATATATATATATATAATAAAATATACCCTTAATTTTTAATTCCAAGTTTTTAGAAGCAACAAATATCAAGCATAAAGTGTACTTGATTAAACATTATACAGTGATTAAGTTTTTTAAATACATACTCCATGCAGAAAATATAAATTCCATGACTATTTCTTAATAAAACTATTTTAGAAGATTGTTAATGAATTATCATTTGGTCTTGATCAAGAGTGCGACTTCAGAGTTTTTATTATATGAATTTAACAGATATTTATACCTAACACATACTGTATTTAGAGTCGATCATATACAGTCGCACTTCCACATAAGCATCTAAGTACATCATATGAAAATTTGTTTATAAGTACATCCTGAAATCCATTTTCCTGAAACATCATTTCACAGAAGTGACAATCTGTTACATAATTGTTGATATCTCATTTTCCTTAAATAACATTTAACCAATAACAAATTTTCCGATAAGTCATCTACCATTTCTCCGAACATTAAAACGATATACTATTATGTCGAAGAATCAGGTTTTCGAGAAATTAGTTTGATCGGGAAAAAATAACATTGGTGAAAACCTCTATTGGCGAATAGACTGTCAAAAATATGTCTTATCAGAAAATAAGGTTATCGGTATTATGGGATCTGAGAAATGATACATCGGGAAAGTGGTCATCGGAAAATTGAACAACAATGAAAAAGAAATCCCATTTCTCTATTTCTCTATATGAGAACATTTTTTAGCGAATTTCTGAGCTCCACTGGTGTGACTATAGGAGAGGTGACTGTATATGATTAGAATTTTTGTCTAGTATAATTATATTTTTCAACGCTCTCTTATTTTGTACGAATTAGCCGGTTGGCACGATCATGTTTCATGCTTATACATACGGGTGGATCTTATCGTAATCTCCACAAAGCTTACTACCGTATTTGCACATTATTCACTTTTTTACATATACAATATATATGCCGTAAATTAGACACCGTTGTTACTATCCTGCCCCACACATGGTCATCACACGGATTCCCAAAATTATTGTAAATTCAGGATAGGATCAGCGGTATCACGTAGACATAGTTCATAGACAATTTAATTTATATACAAATATATAAATTTATTTTATAATAAAATTTATAAATAAATTTATTTTACAGAAAATCAATTCGATAGATCATTTAACCGACAAGTTCATTTCTCACATAAATTATAACTTTACCTAACTAACCCTAAAAATAACTAGAGTTATTTTGTCAGTGAAATGAGCTATTGATGAGTCTGTCTGTAAAATGAACTGTGTGAAATAAATTTTCCGTAAGTTTGTTTATGAATTGAACCAAGATGTCTACGAAGTGAAACAGCACCGAATAATTTTTTTGTAAATATAGTTAGCTGGTATTGTTTAGTGCTGGCCTAGTAGAACCGGTGTTAGTCACTTTCTTTAGTTCACATACAATTAATTCATAGACAAGCTTTATTTTCTAGAAAATTGTTTCACACAGTTCATTTTTACAGGCAGACATACCTTACCTATAGTTCATTTCACTAACAAAATAATTCTAGTTATTACTATTGTTGTGGTTAGAATATGTTTTAAGATCAGGTTAAGTTACAGTTTATGTAAGAAACTAGTCGATAAAATGATTTATCCGTGACTACTAAAGTAATTGACTTTTTTTTAAAATAAACTTGTCAGGGAATTAAATTGTCTATGAATTAGTGAATCCAAGTTTGCAGATCATTTGTAGGCGAAATTAGGTTTGGACATATATAGTGCAAAATGAAATTCTTCCGGAGAGATGAACTAAAATGTTTATTAAAGTAGAAAAAGTAAAAATTGGCTACGTAGTAATAAGTAATAATTACTTACTGTATTTCTTTATCCAGTACTTATGTATACGACCTTCAAATGTAATCTAGAAAGTAATACGTATTACATAAACTCAAAATAATCTGTTGATCAAATTGAATTTTGCATACATCATAATAGCCTGCCGAAATTAAAAAATTTTAAAAATTTTGTGAGAGACTAACATGAGGTGTAGGCCAACTTGATAGTTGTTTGATTAACAGTCAACAACTAGCCAATCACATACATCAAGTTGTGCGTAAAAATAAGAATAATTAAAATAATAAT